AAGTCACAGCTAGGTCACTGTCACTACATGTCTTTCAGAGTACCTTATACCTACAGCTACTTATGGAGATGCACATTGCACTATACCTCATAAAAGCGCTGTGATTTTTGATAGCACACACTTGTCTAATTTTATGGATGCAAAAACAGAGGTATCAAAGTTCCATTACTTTTAACTCTTAGCAGCAAACTAAGCCCAGAACTCGAGCAGTTTATCTTCTACATTCCAATAGTAAYACTCATCCTTACAGCTTTCAGTTCACTTAAATGGCAGGTGTCACCCAACATTTGGTAGAATGTGGATAGTTCTAAGGCACCCACATAAAATGCAAAATTTACAAGTGTAGTAAAAATTTAATTAGAAGCAAAACACAATGTGAAAGAGTTATCCACACTCCAAAGGGCAAGGTAAATCCCTTGTAGAATTTAACAATACCCCACATACCGATGTTTTATTATCTTGCATTTTTCTAAAAAGTGACTAAGGGCTGGAGGTGTAGATCAGTGGTAGAGTGCATGCCTAGCACACGTGAGGCCCTGGGTTCAATTCCCAGCATGGAAAGTTTTAACAAAAATGTTATTAAATCTTCCTTGTCCCTTGTATCTTATGGTTCTAGTATTGTGTGTTATTGAACAAATTAGAGTTGATAAGGCACAGTGTAATAAGTAACTTGCGCTGAAGTTTATAATTATAAAATAAGCATATGGCTATAAAATAAGACTTTCCTACATCTTACAATGAGTACTTTTTTATATCCATGTAACTTAGATACTATAAGATGAACTTTTCACTCACTTGTTGTACAATTATTGTGTAAAAATGGCATAGTGTTGAAGAAGATACTAAGTAGTAGGCACAACTTTTGCCTTTTTTTTTTTTTAATAGCTGAAGGCCTTTATGTACCTCAATAACTAGGTATGTCCCAAGACCCTTGAGCCAGCACAGGTGACATGAATGGAGAGAAGTTCCAACATGATGTGAGCACCCAGCCCTTGCCAATCAACTTTTTCAGACTATAATCTTCATGGAGGCCACAACCCACATGAAGCAAAGCCACGATGCCACTACCTCCTCCTGAGAGCCTCCAGGAAAGGATCAAGCAGGAGCAGAGAAGGTGGAATTTCAGGAGAACCAAGGGTTCCCATGCTCCTGAAGACTCTCAGGATCATCCACCCTTATGCCTGTTTTCTCTTCACCATCGGAAGCATAAGCCCTCCCAACGTTCTTCTCTCATATTTCATCCCCTTAATACTCTGTCACCTTCCWTCCCTTCCACACCCTCTCCTCACAACACTTTGGATTTCTGTGACCAATGCACTTTGTCTAAGTAGATTATACTCATCTGAAGGGGCCCTATTCGAAGTCTTTAAGATGGCTTTTCCGACCTTTCAAGCTGGGCCCCATCTTGCCTGCAGAAGCTGTTATTATTCATCCTCTTACCTCACACCGCTTATCACACTGAACATTACTGTTAAAGCCTTCATTTCTCACTTACACTGTGAGGGCAGGAACTAAGTCTTACTCTGTTATGTCACCAGAATTTAAATGGCCACTGGCACAGAACAGTAATTCAATCAACAATCATGGAACAGAAGAAAAAGAGAGAGGGAAGATAGCGAGAAGAAATGCCTTCCCAAGTTAGAGCCCTGAACATTCTTTCCAGGAGAAGCATTCTGATCATGTGATGTTGGCTACACCCCAACTAGAGCATAGATGATAAGACTCTCTGTAGCTGGCGTGAACCCTAACACCTTATCTCATTTCTGAGGAATAAAATGTGCTAAAAGTTCCAAACACACATTGGTAAATAAGTACATTTGTAAGTTGACCTTTTGCTTTGGGCTACAACATTCATCTTGCAGATTGTCTAGTGCTTTCGAACATCTGCAGCCCTTTTATATCAATTGTCTAAACTGACCTGCATGATAGCCCTCTGATATCATTATTCCAACTTGAGATACACTCTCTTAGCATGGATGTTCTAAGCCTTATACTAGGTACTGGGGACCCAAAAGAAAGATTCCTGTTTTCTTTTCCCAGCAGTCACAATCTAAACACACAGGGAAGATTCCTAACCCCATTTGCACATACATTTGTGACTTACCTGCGGATTAGACAGTTATGAGTAACAGTACTTGAACACTGCACTGTGAGGTTTCCCGGTAGATAAACTTCTGGATGCTACATTGTATAGATTAGGTACAAGCTAAGTTAAGGTGACAGCAATCCCTCTAAGTTGTAGTCCTTTAAATTTATTTATTTTTTATTTTTATTTTTAGTTATAGATGGACAGAATGTCTTTATTTTATTTGTTTATTTTTATGTGGTGCTGAGGGTCAAACCCAGTGCCTCATACATGCTAGGCAAGCGCTCTGCCACTGAGCTACAGCCCCAGCCCCTAAATTTCTTTTTTTTTTCTTTTTTGATGCTACTGGGGATTAAACCCAGGGGTGCTTTACCACAGAGCTATACCCCAGCTCTTTTTATTTTCTATTTTGAGGCAGGATCTCTCCAAGTTGCCAAGGCTAGCCACCATATCTGACTATAAAATAAAATAAAATAAAATCTTAAATATATCTTATCATCCATGTCAGTGGCACACACCTGTGATCCCAGCTACTTGGGAGGCTAAGGCAGAAGGATCACAAATTCAGAGTCACCCTCAGCAACTCTGCAAGACCCTATCTTGAAATAAAAAATAAAAAGGGCTGTGGATGTAGCTCAGTGGTAAAGCACTCCTGGGTTCAATTCCCAGTAAACCCCAACCCCCAAATTTTATGTATCCTTCTGTGTTTTAGGATAGGTCTAGACTCAGATGAATACCTGTTTTACTTGAGACAGATGCTGATGGGTGGAGGAAGTCTTGGAAGTTCTGAGAGTGTTGCTAGTTGAACTGTATTGAAGCCTGAGGGCAAGTTGTGTGTGATGAAAGGAGAATCCTTGTGGTACCAGGGAAAGCAAGTCAACTTCTCTCCTTTTCTCAGACTTGCAAGGAGCTGGAGCTATACAGTTCACCACTGAAGGGTCCCTGCACTTTCTTCCTTAGCAAAAAGCTACAGGGCTTTGTGCCATCGTGGACCTTGGCTCTCCTCTTTCCTCCGGCCAGTTGCCCAGGCCAGAGGCACCATCATTTATGTGAAGGTTTCTGCTTTCCCAAAATGCCCTGAGAACCCATGGGAGATCCAGGAGACCTACTTGAGAGTTCAGAGTTGAGAGTGGTCCTTGGGAATTGTCCAGAGGTATCTGGAGCCAAATCTGCTGAGGAGGAAGCCACAGCTCCACTCAGTGTGACTCTGGGCTTTTGTCCACAGGGTCAGAACTGACTAATGACTCTGACCCAAGACTGCCAAAGAAWGGGTTCTCCTGATCTCAGAACTGGAGTAGGGGCAAGAGCCCTGAATGGCCAGAGAGGCGGAAGGAAGGGGAGATTGGATGACCTCAGGGCATGGGAGTGGATGATATGGTCATAGCCCTGTTGCTCAGCATTATCAGCTTCTTCAGATTTTGATTTGATACTAGGTCAAGAAAGTATAGGGACTTTGGAAGCAATCTGTCTGGGTTCAATTTCTATCCTGTGTATGTGACTAGTTAGCTATTCAATCCTAGGCAGATGACTTAGTTTCTCAGGTCTCAACTTCCTCATCTATGAAGAAAATATAAAAATATGGGTGCTTTATATAAGAATTAAGTRCGATTCTCCATGTATTCTGTAAATGTTTATTGAATGCCCACTCTATGCCAGGGGATTTTCTGAGCAGTCGTGATTAAGCAATGAACAAAACAGACAAAAGTCCCTAAAATCCCCACCTTCATTAAGTTCATACCATTTCCAGTTACTACAATAAACAATTAATATTGCTGGTTATCTTTAGAAGTTGTAAACCAGAGGAAGGTGGACTGCTATTTTATGTAAGGTGGTTATAGGCTGTCTGAGAGGATGAAATCTGAACAGAGAACTAAAGATGGAGAGACGGCAGATGCTAAAGCTCCTGCACAATGCCTGGCATGGCATAGGCACAGTGTTTCTTCATGACCATCATCACAATGTCACAATTATTGCTCACATTATTAGTTTCCCAGAAAAATGTCTTTAAAAGAACTGATAGAGACAATTCAAAGCATTAAGATCACTACTCCAGCAAAGARTAATAATTATATCCTTAAAATTATGGCATTTGCYAGTAAAAGGACAGAACCRGAAAATATCATGCTAAGTGAAATAAGTCAGTCTCCTAGACCCAAAGGCTGAATGCTCTCTGATTTGTGGATGTTAACCCACAGCAAGAGAGGGGAAGGAGGGGAAGAAAAGAAGTTCATTGGATTAGACAAAGGGGAATGAAGGGAAGGGAGGAGATGGGAATAGGAAAGAGAGTAGAATGAATCAGACATAACTTTCCTATGCTCATATATGAATACACGACCAGTGTAATTCTATATCATGTACAACTACAAGAATGGGATCCTAATAAGTTATACTGCATGTATAACTTGACATATTGTAATATGTCAAAATACACTTTACTGTCATGTATATCTAAAAAGAATTTAAATTTTTTTAAAGTATCTTTCTTGAATAAATAGAACTGTAGACCAAAAAAAAAAAAAAAAAGTATCTTTTGAGACAGGGTCTCACTAAATTACTGAGGCTGCTCTCAAAATTATGATCCTCCTGCCTTCGCCTCCCAGGTGGCTGGGATCATAGGTGGGTGCCACTGTGCCCAGCTGAAAAGATATATTTAAAGTATGCACCAGCCTGGCTATCCAAAGTTTCCAAAACTAAAATAAGTAGGTAATTCAAGRTGTTATTGAGCTAGTTCAAGAAATTTTAAGCTATATCAGAAGTAATTACATTTCCAGATTAAGTATGACATTGGATAAATCTCTTACCACTCTAGACCTTCTATTTACCTTCTATTTTAGTGCTTGTAGAATAAAGCTACTATTATCTAGAATCTCTTCTTAATAAAAAAAAAAATTTGTGACCGGCAATAATTACTTACTCAATGGAGACAATGACAGCATTCAGTTCCTCAGCCATCGCTGTGCACAGCTCATCATAATACTTGATTTCTAAAAGAGACAAAGGGGTAATCACTATAAAATGGGTCATTTAATACTGTCATAAATTTTGCTAAGCATGGATTATTTTTAGACATGGAGTTCATTTAATAATAAAAACAAATAATAAAAAGTGAATGTGAACAAATGTCTTCTTATTGGAATTATATTTAAAAATGCAGAAATCAAATTTGGTTTCAGACAAAATGCAATTATAATAATAAATAACAGGAAATCCATATTAGATTCATCTTGAATATGTTTTTAACTAACTAAACATTTATTTCATAACAGGCAATAGGAAATACAGCAAATTAATTCTTACTTTGCAACTTTTCAAAATGTATACCTACCAAAATTTTTTTTTAAATCACAGTGAATAAACAGTTTCCTTCTTAGACTTATGAACTTTTGCTCTTTTAACATGCTCATTTGTTGTGATTCARAAACATTATCAATTTGAACAATGTGTTCTTCTCCTTAAACCAACAAGTAAGGAATAAAATTTTAGAAAGTCCTAGCATTTCTTAGAAGGAAGACCCAAAAGTCTTAAGGGACAGAGGCAATTTTAATATGTAAGAATTTAATATTTAATCCCTTAATTGTTCTTCCAATAAATTAAGATCTATATTGTGCAAAAACCTAATATTTCCTATTTCTTTTTCTTTTTTTTCTTTTTTTTTTTTTTTTGGTCCCAGGGATTGAACCCAGGATTTCTTGATCACTTAGCCATATCCCCAGTCCTTTTAAAATTTTTTTATTTTGAAATAGGGTCTCTCTGTTGCTTAGGGCCTCACTAATTTGCTGAGGCTGGCTTTGAACTCACCACCCTCCTGACTTAGCCTCCTAAACCACTGGGATTACAAGCGTGTGCCACTGCGCCTGGCTTAATATTTCTTTATCTATGACCTTTTCAAGGCAGCCTTAGAACCAGAAGTTTATGAGTGACATATCCGCCTGTATAATCCCACTTCTTTTTTCAGCAGACATGATTAATGAAAATTATACAGAGAAGTTCTGATCAACTCTTGTAATCCATGCCATTCCTGGCACCTACACTTCCTATCCTTCAATATCTCATCTGGCCAGTGTCCGTGCTACAGACTCAGACTTTTCTAAGGCAGAGATTCTGTCTTATTCATTTTTGTATCCCTACTCCCAGCACACAGGCTGACCATTCATTGGTCCACGTTTGCCCAAAACTTTGAGTTTTTGCACTGAAAGTCCTACATGCCAGGAAGCCCTTCAGTCTTGATTAAGTCTTGATTAAGCTCATATACTTGGTGAATAAAAGGATAAAGGATGGGCTGCTGGCATGGTWGCACCAGTGACTAGGGAGCTAAGGTAGGAGGACCTCAAGTTCAAGGCCAGCCTAGGCAATTTTGTGAGACCTTGTCTCAAAATAAAAAATGAAAGGGCTAGGAATATAGTTCAGTGGTAGAGTGCCTCTGGGTTCAATGCTCAGTACCACAAAATAAAATAATAAAAATAAAGAGTACACAAAGCACACACTTGAAATCCCAACAGTTTGGAAGACTGAGGCAGTAGCATTGCAAGTTCAAAGCTAGCCTTGGCAACTTAGTGAAATGCTATCCACCCCCCCCAAAAAAAAAACACTATCCCCCAAAAAAGGTCTAGTAATGTGGCTCAGTGGTTAGGCATCCCTGGTTCAATCCTGGTACCAAAACAAGAAAAAGAAAAGGAATAAATGATAAATTTAAAGCTAAATAAAATAGGATTTCTAGAGACATTTATAGTTTCTGACCTTGTCTTCATTTAAAAATAAATACAATAGCAAAATAAAAAAACAGGACAAGTTACCATTGCCTTTCTTTCTTTCTTTCTTTCTTTCTTTCTTTCTTTCTTTCTTTCTTTCTTTCAGGTACTAGGGATCAAACCCAGGGTCTCATGCATGCTAGGCAAGTGCTCAGCCACTGTGCCACAAACCCAGTCCTGCTACTGCCTTTAAATAGAGGGGAGGCCAAAAGTTCTGTGCTAAAGACGAGGAAGTAGCTGCATAGTCTGCTCAGGCAGAGCAAAGGCCTTGACTTCCTCTGAGGCAGGCTTTTTCCTGGTTGCTTTGCTTTGCTGTCTGCCATTTAAACCCACTACATTACTACTCMTGAAAGAGATCCAACTCTATAAAAAATGTTCTTGAACTTGGGRAAATTACTTCTCTTTAATGGTTGCATACCTTTTATATTTTAATCTTTGGTTTCCTAAGTGGATAAGATATTGCTAAGATAATAACATGTACATTAAGAAATATCTGCCCTATTTCATAGAAAGACAAAAGTGTTAAGTTGGCAAAAGAGCTATAAATAATTCCCTCATATTCTGGCACAGTGAAACTTCACCTTGTTTTGTATAAAAAGCTGTCATTGACACTTCATAAGAAGTTGATTGATGATTTAGATCATAAGAAAAAATGTTTTCAAAACAGCCTGTCTGCATTAAGAAGCAAACCTACAAGCAAAAAAAAAAAAAAAAAAAAAAAAAACCTTTTATATACAATAATCATGTAATTTATCATTCAAACAAAGATCTCCCCCTTTCTTCTCTTCTTTCTATCTTTTTGGTAGGAGGAGGTACTAGGGATTGAAACCAGGGGCTTTACCACTGAGCTACAACCCAGTTCCTTTTATTTTTTATTTTGAGACAGGGTCTCACTAAATTGCTAAGGGCTTAGCTAAATTGCTGAGKCTGGCCTTGAGCTTGCAATCCTCCTCCATCAGCTTCCTAATCACTTACAGACATGCACCACCATGCTAATAAACCAGAAAACTTTTAAGTGAAAAAGCAGGCACTACTAATAATTTAATTTAATTTAATTTGCCCAGAGATAAATGGGATAGTCCAGGAGAAGAAGACAAATGGTTCCCTTCTTCTTACCCCTGAAGAAAGACAAACTCAACCACATTACTCCCCAGGGCCAACCACAATTCCAAGCAATCCGAGGGTGACCCAGCCRTACTTGCACTGGCCAAGGCCCAGCCTCCTCCGTGGATATAAACAACACTGCGTCTCAGCAGCTCCTGTGGCTTTGGAGAGGCTTCAAACACTCTGACTTCCACCCCATCAAAGTCAGTGTCGGTCACATTCACTTGGGCAGACGACCATGCACTTTTCTTTCCGAAAGAAACGATGATAAAATTCAGTGCAATCAAGTGATGGCTCAGTCCCAGGGAGTGTATAAGGTGACTCTGCAGGAAGAAAATAAAGAGAACAGTGTCAACTTGGTCAGCTCCTGAGAGAGAGCTTCACTCACAACTCAGCATTTCTTTTCTTTTTTTTTTTTTTTTAGTACTGAACATTGAACCCAGGAGCACTATACCTCTGATCTAAATTCCCAAGACTTTTGATTTATTTATTTTTAATAATATTTGTGAGCCTGGGGATTAAACCCAGGGATGCTCTACCRCTAAACTACATCTCTAGTTCTTTTACTTGTTTTTATTTTGAGACAGGAGTATTGCTAAGTTGCAGAGACTGGCCTCAAACTTGTGATCCTCTTGCCTCAGCCTCCAGAATAGCTGGGATCACAGACTAAACTCAGCATTTGAGTTCTTACAAGCAACAGCCACTGGATTGGAGGGTTTGCTGGACACTTTTGATATAACAACAAATTGTATTTACCTTTTACTTTTAGGGCTGACAAAAAAAATTCATTCCTGAGACATTCTTTCATTTTCAAACCACTTCAAGAGGGAAATTGGATGGATATTATCAATCTCAATTTATTGAGAAGACTTAGAAATGACCTGAACTTGTCCATTTAGCTGGACAATGGTTCTTCTGAGACTCAGAACTAGGATTTGTAAATTCTAGGATTTAGGTTTTTTTTTTTTAATTTTGCTTCCTAAATAAGCATGTCACAGTTCCAATAATATACTAGGAGTGGAAGARTAATATGTTAAATGCAAATAAAAGAGAAGAAAGCTTAATATTTACTTAAAGTATTTTTAAAGTGCTTCAAAGCTTATATACGTAGGTATGTCTGATTGTTTTCAGAGCAGGAGAAAGGAATGAGTGTGCCAGAGAAAAGGAACAAGGTTAGCTGAGGCCCTGGATTTAGAAGCAGACCAGCTCAGACATAACCWGGAGCTTTTCAGAAAAGTGCAAAGAACATACAGACCCCTGAAACCATGGAGGCTGCACTAGTAGTCACAGGAAGTTACCTGGTTGCAATGATTCACAGAAACAAGAGGCCTAAGTAACCCACAAAGCAAAGACCCTGCAGGGTTTCTTTCCCTTTTTCCACTTCTTCAAGATCTCAGGAAGGGGCCCAGCTGGAGAGTGACAGTGCTCATTAGAGAAATTATTAATGCCACTGTAAGATCAAGGGAGCAGCGTTAGCAGAAATCAGGACTATGTGATGCCTGCAACACACCATAACACAGCTTTCCAGCCTGGGGGGGGGGGGGCACACTAGTGTGCCTTGAGGAGGAACAGGTGGGTCCTGCACATAGGACAGCCACACTCCTGAGCCATTTACCCCAGTGTCCCATATAAATATTATCACTGTAGATATATAGATATCTTGCCATGAAAAGGACTGGAAAACACAGCATTATAAAACCATTAGCCAATATTCATGGAAAACAAGAACAAGGCAATTAATCTAAGAAAGAACAGCTATTTCAGGAATCCTGTTATTCATTTGCTGGCAAGTATAAACGGTAGCAGAGCAACCGAGTATTAATAAAATAATCCAATTTCTATATGTGCTTTGACATCAGTTGCTCAATTGACTGAAAAAGTTAGGGTTAATGTCCTTAAACAAACATATGAGTGTGTGTGTGGCAGGGGGGATGAGTATGTACACAGGCACAGAAGGCMCAGAGGAGTCTAACAATCAACTTAAGGTCCTTAGCAAATTGGAAAAGGACAATTGTCATTCAAGTTTTGTGGTAAAATGTCAGTCTGTCCTGGGGAATGTTGAGGTTTGCCAGGGCATAGCTGAAGATCACTGTATCRGCCAAGATTTCTAGCGCAGACACAATAAACCCTTGTCAGCACTGTTATCAACTAAAAGAGATCAGGCACCATCCATTCCAATTTTTTTTTTTTTTTTTTGTACTGGAGATTGAACCCGGAGGCACTTTACAACAGAGCGACATCCCCAGTCCTTTTTATATTTTAATTTTGAGACAGACTCTTGCTTAATGGCCTCTCCTAAGTTGCTGAGATGATAGGTGTGTATCACCGCACTTGGCTTTCATTGCAATCTTCACAGGACACGKAGCTTGATAGGCATAAAATGATGAAATATGAACAAAGAAATAGCAGTCTTGGCTCTGAYACTTTCTGGTGTGAATTTTCTTTCTTCTTTCTTTCTTCTTCTTTTTTAATTTAAATGAAAACTTCATTAAATATTTCAGACAAAGTTTTGTTTGTTCGGCTGTAGGCAAGCTCTAAAATAAGTGAGTTGTCTTTACAGGACAGGTAAGAGAAGATCACTCATTTCACAAGAAGACCCACGTGGGTTTCCTTCCTGTGGCATGTGCTCCRAGTGTGCACAGACTTGACTGAGTTTGCCTACACCTTTCCAGAAACACCTCTGCTTGTTAGCTTATGTTCACTTGCACTAGCAGAACTTCTGAATCACCACCTGTGTTGTTTACAACAGTGACAGGGCAGTGTGGGGACCGACTGTGAATTAGAAGAGGGACAAGTTGTTTATGTAGGGGGGAAAAAAAAACCACAGGAGCAAGAAAGGGTACCTAGTGGAAAAGTACCCAGGAAGGTGCTCAGAGAAAAACTATGCTTATGTTTGGAATTATGTTGATAAATTAGAAAATAGAAAGTTATCCTCCAGCCCGTGTCATGATTCTTTCAGACTGTGAAAGGGGAGAGAAYTAACAGTAACCTGTTGTTAATCCCTTTATTGTTACTATTAAATAGCTCCTAAGTGCCTACAATGCTTGCAGGGATGTTAGTTGAATTTGGCTAGATTCCATGAGATAAGTACTCATTCTATTCCTTCTTTAAAGGAGAGAAGTTTAGTGGAGAAGGAACCTGTGTAGAAGTTCAATTCCTAAAATCTTGAAGGCTCTGTGGGTCATACAGAATTGCCCCAGAAGTTTAGGTTTAGGTCAGTGTGGGCCTGGGAAGCTGCTCTGAGCCCTGTCCAGTAGGGATCACATGAGCATATTCGTTCACATGATGTTATAGGGCATGACAAAATTGTAAATATCATCAAGCTTTTTTCTCTAGGACCTAGTGTTTCCTTTAGTTTTTCTCACAGTTCTCCTCCCACTCCTCCTGCCCAGCAAATACAACCAGTAGCCAACCATTTCTACAGTTTGTACTTCAGTGATAGGGTATGAGTACAAATAGCCCAGAAATAGGCAGGAGCATCACAAGTTCAAGGCCAGTCTCAGCAACTTAACAAGACCCTGTCTCAAAATTTAAAAAAATAAAATAAAAAGGAAAGGGAATGTGGCTCAGTGGCAGAGTGCCCTTGGATTCAAATCCCCAGCACAAACACACAACAACAACAACAAAAACAAAAACAAACAAACAAACAAAACTAAGAGGGAAGGTCTCATCCTAAAAGTGATAGAATTTCTTTGATTAAAATTTCTTG